CCCAGGGTTCGGGTGTTGGTAACGACATACCATGATCCATTTCTTTGACAATGGACGAGAGATTTTACCTGAGCTACATCCCACATTACTCAGGAGTAAGTGAAATGCAGGAAGCCAACCTTCAGCCAGTCCTTAGATGCCAACGTTAAATTTCACAGCACTACTTTATCAGATTCCTGCCCCAAGAAAGTAAATGTATAATATTTTAGGCATAATTCAGTCACATATGCATTTTCATTATTGCTGATCTATAACAAATGGAGTTTAACTTAAACTGCTTTTCCTGTTGTCTACCTGGCAGACATGTTTTTTAAAGTTTAAGCTTTGTTTCCATAAAAGAAAGGCAGTTCAGTAAAACACAAGAACCTTTGCTTAGTACAATTTACCTCACCACCTGGACTGCAAAAATAATCTGTGAGGGAAGAGGGGAAAACCTGGGAAAATCTGGGGCATTACAATTTTTATGAACTGTATGGAGGTCTACCTCGATTGCACCTCCTGCTATTCACTCCTGTCACACAGTAAGTGCTTGATAAGGTATAAAAAAGAAAATAAAAACTTGAGTGATTAACTATCCCTAGTAAGAAAAGAATTCTACTTTAAGACTTCACAGGCTGTCATTCCGTTAAACTCGGATACAATCCTAGAATAGATGTACTCCACTCCTTAAAGTATCCTCTAAATTCAGTTGTATAAGTGTATATACAGGTTTGTTTGTGCTCCGGATGCATACAAACATGTACACAGATATACAGTATAAGAAACTATAAAGTAAAGAGTATTTTTGTTAGAAACAGAAAATGAAATATGTATTTGTTTGCAGCCACCATGTACTTACTATTTAGTTGAATCTGATAACTGATACTCCCGTCGTCTGTCATAACACTCCTGAATTCCAGGGTCATTCCATAAGCTTCTTATTGCATCTACATACGGGTTCTCAAAAGTTGACACTTTCTCTACATCGACTTCTCGAACTAACTGTGCATGAGCCTAATTCAAAACAAACACAACAGTAAAAGTTACTTCTTTTTCTTTGTTTGCAAATAGCTCATATACAGTAAATGTAAGTAACAGGAATAATTTTTCATATTGGCTACGTCACTGATGTGTCTATGCAATATCAAAAATCAAGTACCCTGGAGAAAGCTCCGGAGACGTAAAAAGGAGACAACCAATATAGGGAGTTCCAGAAATGAGGAAGAACCAAAAAAACCTTCACTTTTTAATGGAAAGTATATAAATCTCAACATGGGTCAGCATATTATTTGCCTTTCATGCTAAAAGACACTGTAAAACAGAATACCTACATCCATTATACCCACCAAACCACTCATCAGCAACTGAATCCGGGATGCATGGATAACATAATGATAGACAAGACAAACTCCCAAAACATTCAAAGATGGAATTCAGAAATCACTACTACTATTAAAAAAGCACAGCAAGATTATTAGAAATTGTCTCTGGTTTCAATTTGTACTATAAATTACGGAGATTCTTAAAAAGTAATGTCTAAAATTGGGAGTTGCTAAAAGGAAACAATCCATAATAAATCCACTACCCTCCTAAACACTTAAAATTTTGTTCAAGTCTACAGAGTCAGCACTACCGAAGAAATACAGCAAATTTCCCATTTGTCATGGAACTGTTATGTAGATGTTTCAGTAACAAATCCATGAATGTAAATATCTCTGTATATACACATGCAAGCACGCAACACTCCCAGAGAAAACAACAGATGAAAACTTTGTCAAGCAAAAAAGCTGAGGGATTCAAACTCCCGTATCTAGTGTGCATTCAAAGTGAGGACACAAACCTCTGTTGATTTTAAATTAGGTGAAAGCACAGTGAAAGGACTGCTCTTCTTGTTTTTTAATAAACTCATCCCCTGTTTGCACACATGCAATCTCCAACTGCCTTTTCAGACAGACCAGGATAATGACACTACTGCTCACTGCTTAACAAATGTTAATGCAACTACTGTTCAGTCAAAAAGAAATAAAACTCTCTAAGTTCAACTGCATCTCAAAGAGAAGGAGAACATACGTTCTCTGTTACCAGAACTCAAACCTTCAAAGTTCTAACGAGTATTTTTGTCTGGATCATGTCCATGTATCCCCAAAACACCTCTGATAAACCACAAAGGGTCCCTGCCTTCTCACAGCAAACAGCAAGAAGTGGCACTCTACTAAACATAAGCCAACATTCTGGTGAAACAGGACTATTTTTATTTTTTTTTTTTTTAAATCTTATATCTTATCAAGCTTAGTTCTGTATTCCATTACCCTTATGTACTTCCAAAAGAATGATACCCTGAATATTTTCCCACAGCTTGTGACAAACTGATAAAACAATATATTCAGATATTGATTTTTTTTATACTTGAGTTCCAACATTATGTCGAACTGATACCAAAATGCTAACAGAGCTAAAAGACTAACTTACTATATTCAAAAGCTTTCATCTGAAATCTGCCACAACTTAAGTACTTCTCCAGTGGTTCCCTAAATATTGTCCAAGAGGTCAAGTATTTATTTTACTCAATTACCTATGCAGACTTAATACTACAAAGCTGTCAATATCTTGAATTGTTTATCAGTTCTCTATGTTCTGCAACACAATTAGTAAGACTTTGCACTGTGACAACTTACAAAATAAACTACGACATATGCCAAGAAGTTGCATACATTGAAAAAATGATTAAACTCTAAAAAGAAACAGCATTTCCTCAGTAAAGAATGCTTCTGCTTCTCTGGAGTTTGTTTTGTCTCTATGGACTAGCTGATTTTAAGGCGCCCATTTAAAGAATTCTCTTGACATGGGACAGAATATCTTCTGTCTTCTAAAAGGGTCTCTCAGGCTAAGCAGAAAAAGCCTGTGGTAATCTGGTCATCTACAGCTGTGGTTCATACAAATACCCCACCTCATAGGGTTGTACAGCAAGATACACTGCTCTGTAGACTTCTGCAAACCTCCAGAGTCTTGAAGCATGTATAACATCATGCAACATCTCCTTACAAGGAGAGTAAGACTACTCTATTTCATTGTCTTGACAACTAGACAGTTGGAGGATTTGTTCCTTAACATGGCAGAAAGCAGCAACTCCTGACTACAATCACTCCAAGGCAGAAAAGTGCCCTTACAGAGCAGTAGACAAATAAATAGCTTGTAAGTGGACTGTAAAAAGGATGTTGCTTTCTTTGAGCAATTTTAGAGCACAGAATGGTCTAGGGTAAATACAGAGAAGGTTCCATGGTGTGCTATGCCAAAGAACTGTATTTAAATTACTGAAGTGTGCTGACACAAGCTTGGTGTGATGCTTAACATGCTTCAGTTGATGACTAAGGCTAACAGGGTATCCAACAACCTAAATCAGAATTTGTCACCCTTTCCTCTTTCCCATTCTAACCTTGAGCTCTTTGAAAAAGAATTGCAAACATGTAAGAGAATCAGAAAAAAATAGTTTGCACGAGGAAAGTTTTTTTTGTTACTGGTCATTGCCTGTAAAAAGCCTCGGATAATAGACCCTAACCCATGGCTTGTGAGCAGTACAATCAAGTGACGAGAATTTAAACAAGTTATCTTGTAACTTAAGTCTGAAATTCAATCTATTTAAAATGCATCATTAAACACTAGTTGTAGTAGTTTTATATATCTAAACACTGGAATAACAAATGGCTACAAAAATGAGGGTTTTTGTTTGTTTGGCTTGATTTTTTGTTGGTTGTGGGTTTTTTTTTTGAGTAGACCTCAGAGAAAGCTTGGAAAGTAGCTCAGTAAATAAGAGCTTTATTTGTCCACTGCAGTTAGAGCCCTGAATTTTCTTGCTGTCTTACTTTTAAGCTGCACCATATATGGAAGACAAACACTAAGTTACCGCTATAGGGGTGCGAACACAAAATTAGAGCAAGTTTTTATTGAGGATTGTATCAAAAGGTTTATACACATAACAGAAAAGGCTTCTGAAACTTACATCTTAAAGGTCATACTATTGCTACAGGCCTTGGAAAAAAAAGCTGTTTTAATAATACAGCAAGAGAAACAGGATGAAACAACTTGTTGTCACCCTAGCAGATTCTCTTGCAAGTGTCAGAGATGTGAGTCATGCCAAAAGAGAAGACAGGGAAGGTAAACTGTACAATTAATTATATAAATCAAGTAAATAAAAATATTGTTTCCCTTCATGAAACATGAGATGCCCTCCTATGAGTTGGAACATATGCAGTGTTTACTTGGGGAAAGCTACAGGACAATGCAATCACAGCAGCACAGTGTAGCTACTGTTTAGAAGTTGATAGCTCTAAGGAGCCCAAAGCTAACACAGACTTGTTCTGCTGTGGGAAAGAAATCACAGTATGGGGAAACAAGAGGGTGTGACCATTTCTCTATTTACTGTCCAAGTTTCCTATTGTCCACATGTAAACTTGAGGTTGCTTGGTTATCACTGCTAAGCTGTTGCCTAACTAGTAAATGCAACATTATTAAACATGACTATTACTGTTCCTTCAAAAGAATATCTAATTCCATTTAATGGCCTGAATAACCACTTCTACCACTATTCACCTCTCCCCTCTCAAAATCCCACACCTATTTTGATACTTCCATCAACAGAAAACTTCTTCAGTGAACACTTCCTACAATCAACCTCTACAGAAAAAAACAGGTTTTCAAAACAAAGCAGGAAAAAGAAGAACATGGAGAAGATGACGAATGAAGCACCCAGAAGCCACTCTCTCTCTAACAAAAGTACAAAGAGGCAGCTGAAGTAAAATTCATCAGTCTTGCAGTGATCTTAGGTAACTTCAACTGTTGAAGACTTCATCATTACTACAAAGTAGGCTAGGTTCTGGACATTCATCGTCATTTTATTTGCAGTAACGCTAGGTAGAGTAATTTACATGAAAACTCCGGAAAAAGAATTTTTAAGTCCACATTTAAGACGATAAAATTTTTCCTGAATTCATACCTCTGAAACATATATACTGATTGTAAATTTTTCTATTATATATATTTTATAGTATTTTAACCTAAAGATCACAAAATACAAAGATCACAAGTGCCACTAAGTATTATAAAATTGTCACAAACCACAGGTCAATCATTTCATGTGATGGTAGTGTAATCATACTACTGTTCAATTAACAGCAATTACTGCTATATTATTATTACATTTGAGACTAAGATTCAGTCTTAAGAATTTGAGAAAGAAATTGTACAGATTTCTGATGAGGTTACCAATAGAGTACATCTCAAGTCAGAAGAATGTTAAATGGCATGCCACACCACACCGCCCATACGCAAACACACACGTCTTCACATGTCCCCGGGTAAAAAAATACACCTCATTTAAACTATTACTTCAGTTTAATAAAGTGCCTCTGTAATCATTTGAAGAAAATTCTCCTTCAAGTAAGAGGTTTCACAGATTTAGCATAGCTTTCTAAAGCAAAATAACTCAAGCCCAGCTTCCTAATGTACAAATTATCCTTAACAGGGTTTGAACAAAAAATAAACCTTATTTTATTGCAAGACCCAGAAAGTTACCCCTATCAAACCAAAGACACAGCTTTTTGTCTTTGTAACAGTGTTTAATTTTTCTTTTGTTTGTTTTTCCGTTCTGGCTCTTCTCTGCTATGAAGAAGTTTTAAATTTTGCTGCAATGTGCTATTTAATTTCAAAAGAACTGTTTTAGAACAGTATGTGTCTGTAATGGCAAAAGGGTAGAGTTCTGAGGCAGAATTATGTAGCCTTATCATTCCATTTAACCAAAACAGCAGAATTACACATCTTGCAGCAGAGAAGATGAAGATAGGATGTTCATTCTGCCTGAATACACTATATATGAAAAATGTGGAGTGCCATGTACTTCACACTGGCCACACGACAATACCCAATGAAGCCACATGACTTTCGCATTCTGATATTGCCAGGATAAAGAGGGAATGAATTTAAGACTTAAGGAAAAGTATTTCAGCTTATTTTTTGCAGTA